ATATCATGAAGCTTGACATCAAGATCCTTTATCCACGAAGCCATTTAGGTGCCCTGAGATGTTTTGTGGATATTTCAAATTAAGTTTACATTTTGGATAATTTTATATTTTTACCTCATCTTATTTCCTGCCTTCATTTCATGCTTTGTATAAAAGCACCAGGCTTAGTTAGTTGACAAGCTTAGTGTTTCTTAATTCCAGAGTCTCCTGTTTTATTTAGAAGATCAAGGCCTGAAGCATTGGTGCAATATACTTGGAAATATACTTCATAATACTCAAGCCAACTCCCATTGCTAACAAAATCAGTTGATTGTTAAAAACTAATCTACTCTAACACTTCAGTTTAGCAGAGAAAATGTATGACTTCCACTATGTTTTTTTTTTTCAAATGAAATGGTAAGAGCAATACATGTGAAACAATATAAAAGAGAAAGTTAACCCCAGAAACCAACAGACAGATGGAGTAGTATCAACTGGCAATATTCCTAAAGTTCATGGCCAACAGAATAGCCAATGGGAACTGAAGATTTCATGGCATTGTTTGTGTTTAAAGGCAAGTGTAAAATGGTATGTATTAAAAAACAAAAAGAACTCAATTCACATAAATGTCTTTGCAGAAAGTTAAAACAAATCAGTGCAATTTAAAAATAAAATCATTTTCTGGCCTGCTTCCACACTGACTCATGTAAGCTTCAAAAAGCACAGCACTAAAGCATTTTTTAAGATAGGAGGGCAATTAGAGACATTAATTCACTCAATGCCATTGACCAGCTAGCACATGAATCACAACTCCCCTTATGCAAAACATAGGAACATGGTCTATGTCAGAGATCTCACAAGGAAGACAAGAATCTCAAGCGGCATGGGATAGATTGTGTAGAGCTAGGAGACAGAGGAGCAGTTAGGTGCCACTTAAGGGACACAGAAATACAGAGCACATCTTGATATGGTAAGTATAGAGAAGCCCTTTGAGAGCCTAGTTTCTCAGACTCTTCTTTTTTGTCAGTATAGCTTCATAAGTCTCCAGTGAGAGGCCACTGAGATAGCAAACAAGCAGAATGATATCAAGGAATCATTGGTGGCATGCAATAAGCTTGCCACAGATGTGGGAAATAGCTCTTGAAAACCTAGCCAAAACATATTGTGCTATCTACTACAGAGGGAAGAGCAAGTGCAAAATGTGGATTTCTGGATTCAATAGTGTTCGCCTTCATGAATGAGATCATAGTGAATGTACCAAGAGCAAGAATTTACAGTGTGTGAATCCTGAGAATGAGATGAGAGGGCTGAAGGGTGTGAGAAGAAGAAGCACCTAGAATGCAGACTAGCAAATTTTCCATGACAAAAATCTGAGTTCATGCCTTACCAACTGGCTATAGTATTTCACAGAGCAAAGCAAAAAGCAATCAAGCTGACTCAGGCCACTGGAGATGACCATGGGAGTCAGAATCATGGGTTAAGTGGATTGTGTGCTTACTTTGAAGGTCTAAGTGAGTTTATCATAGAGTTTGGTTTATCAGAGAGCAAAAAAAAATGAATTCACATCAAAGAATAATCTTAGACAATTAAAAAACAAACAAAAATTATTATATTTAAGATAAGAGAAGAATATGCTGTTTTCCACGAGATATCTGGTGACCCAGAAGGCTGATAATGTAAGAACTATGTGGGCTGTCCTCGATGGAAAGTGTCAGAGAACCCTGGACCAAGAAGTGGTAAGAAAGTAGAAGAATGTCTTTCAACTGAGGATAAAACAGAAAAGGAAACAGGATTGATTTTAGGGATAGATTTTAGGATGGATTTCTTATGGCAGACAGGTCTTTTGCTATGCTCCCATACAAAGCCTGGCCAAAGTACAGTTGTCAGTACATAGGAAGGAACTCTGATAATGAGGAGATTTAACCATAAGGAAGCAATGAATGGGCCACCAAATAGAAACACCAATAACAGGCACTAAAATCTCAGAGGAGACTGAGATCAGGCAGGTTTTTTTTATTAACTTATAATTTATTGTTGCTATTTGTTTTTATTTGTTTTGTTCCCTTTTCCCAGATTAGTCGTTGTATAGACCTCATGTATACATGTAACAACACATACTTAACTCTACATCTGAGCAGGCGAACACAGGAGACAGGAGCAAAAGTAAGTCTCAGCTTGGTGTTGAGTTGTGTTGAGTTTACCCCTCCCACCCCCACCCCAAGCAAAGTACAGAACATGGAGATGTCATCAAGAGTGCCATAGACAATACACTTTTGGGAATTCTTGGGTTTATGTTACTTAGCAACAGTGTGCTGCATGGATGAGAAGCAATCTGCACAGGTCAAAATTACAGATTAGCTAAAGTGTTAAAAGGCATTGAGAGACCGAGACCAAACCAGTGAAAAGGCAGGAGGAGGAGCAGAATGCTCCTCACTCGTCAAGGGAGGAAAAGTTTTCCCAGAGCATTCAGTGAGAATTCAAAATATTTTTTAAATGAACAAAAGTATGAATAAGTCAAAGAAACAGACCTTCTTGTAATACTCTCATTTATATCCAACAGTGACATTATAAAAGTAGATTGGAGTATAGAAGAAACCCAGATTAGACAAATCCTGGATGGTTGTGTAGAGGTGTTTACAGGAGTGCCCCACCCCCATAGGCTCATATATTTCAACAACTGGTTTCTAATTGATGGAACTGTTTTGGGAAAGATTAGGAGACATGGCTTTGTTGAAAGAGGTGTATCACTGGATGTGGGCTTTGAGGTTTAAAAAACCCATGCCAGCTCCAGTAAAAATTCTCTGTCCTTCTAACTTGCAGATAAGATGTAAGCTTCCAGCTACTGGGGCAGGGCCATCCCCGCCTGTGTGCTGCCGTGTTCCCCACTATTGTGGTCATGGATTAAACCTCTGCAACTGTAAACAAGCTCCAATTAAATATTTTTTATATGTTGTCTTGGTCATGGTGTCTCTTTAGAATAATGTTAAATTGTAACTAAAAGAAAATGGAACTTTATTGTAAAAGGAACAGTACATTGTTGCTCAGTGTCTGATGACACCACATTGCTGTAATTGGGGTGAAAGGTACTTAGGCATTGGTTAACACAATGTTAAATATTAATGTGAACAACATGTGCCCCTTGGTCTTGGCCAAGCCCTGAAGATCAGGAAACTCACTTTGCTCCACATGGGTCATTGGATCCATACTTGGTCTTATTTTTCATCTGGTTTTCATAAAACTTTCTTTCAACGAATTACTGACATTTAGAAGTCCAAATTGCCCATTAAGGCCATCAAACAACATTTTGCTACCAGATAGGACACTAGACAGGCAGGAACCAGGCATTAGACTCTCTCATTCTTAAACTGATTCAGGATATTGGTGAGGTCCAAAGTAGACCAGACATTGTGGTAACAACATAGTCTCCATTCTAAAAAGCCCCATTCACAGGGCCATCAAAGTGGCTCTCTTAATGTCAACTACATTGCTAGCCACATTTAGTTGAGAGCAGACTGTGTGTGCAATGTTACACATGCAGAACCCTCACTAGGGCTTCTTTTACGTTTCTTAAAACCTAGCAGAGAGGCTATAATGGGTAAACTTGTTCATTCAAAGAAATAAACCAACGAGATAAAAACCATCTTTTTTAGTGTGTTATAACATAACTGAAAAGCTTGGACTGCGTGATAATTTTCAGGACACCGTGGGCTACAGGATGGATTCCACTCTGAAAATTTAAAAGGAGAAATGACCAAATTGTTATGGAAAAAATACTCCTTTGAATTCATTTTTAATGCTTTGATCTATATTATTGTTATTGTTTGTTGCAAATCAGTAGCACATTTGGAACCATTTTCTGAACTGCTATAGTTATGCAAATCAGAAATACCCATGGCAGAAAGCTGAACCGTGAACTTTAAAGGTGTGGCTCCCCTTCATCATAAGTACCCCCCTCTCACTTAGTGACAATGCAGTGCTGTACAATAGCTGCTTCATTCTTTACTTAACACTTTTAGTCCCCCTGAACCTACTGGAGTAATATTTTCAAAGCTCATGTATCCACTGAGCACGGGCATATATAAATTGATATATACAGAATTCAAGCTACATTTTCTGATGGGGTGGTTTCATGAAACTATCACAAAAAGCAAACCCCTTTTATCTCCATATACTATCAAGTTTAAATCACTCTAGGGTTGTAATCAGCAGAGGGAGAACAGAAGGCATAAACGTCACTTTCCAGGGAGTAGAGTGTTGTACAGGTAGGTCAGTGTGCTGCACACACTGTTCTCCATCATGTCTATCCTTCCCTGTTGCTGGAATTTCCACCCCTTAAAAGCTATTAGATTCTCAGGATCTCCACTAAGCAGCAGAGCTTATTTGTATTTCAGTGACATAAATACTTGGCCACACATGAAGGCTTTCACATGACATTCTCAAAAGTCATTGAATGCCCCGTACGTGTAAGAGTTTCCTCCATGAGACACAAAATACAAGCTGGTAAAAGTTGTTTCCAACTTAGGAACTCAGTGCTCAGTCATAGAACTAACACTGTCTACCAAAGTAAATGAGTTCAGGATTTCAGTGAGAATATCAAGCACACACACACATGACCAAAATCAGAATTATAAAAGGCATATGATATTCAAATCTCATTGAAAAATAGAACTTAGGTAAATGATTAATTGAGATTTACTTTAAAGAGTTCTAAAGAGATATTTCATGAATTCACAATAATTTGCTACAAATTACATGTGCAATTATATACATATATTCTAAAATCACAAATAACCATAACTAAATAATATAAAATGGATCATTATTTATGTGAAAATTATACAAATATATTTAGTTTTAGTTGAATGTATGTTAACTTTGTGTAAACACTAAACATATAGTTCAAGTTTAATTATGTTTACTGTCATGAAATTTGTTTGATTATTATTTTCAATAGCCTTGAGAACGTTGATCAAAACCATAAAGAAAACAATAATATAGCAAGAGGAAAATGATTTATTTACCTGGATCCTCTATAGTTAAGTTCTTTATTAACCACTGAACAATGTCTGACCCTAGAAAAAGAAAACACAAATAGATATGAACCTTTTGTTTATACATGATAACTTTAAGAACTCTCCACTTTGGGTTCTCATTTCAGTAAATCATTACAACTAGCAGCGAAGCTTCATCCACAGACAGAGTACTAAAACAGCACTGAGAATACATTTCTCTAATGAGCCAATGTGCAAGATGGCAAATAATTAAATATGATTTATGATTTCTTATATATATCATGCTTTCATTGATTTTAATGCTTTAGTCATTAAGTTTACTAAATGTCATATACAAATCTTGCCAAGGCATGAGTACAACTTTCCAGAAGGATCCCCCTTCCCCATTTCTGATTGTCCTTAACTTGTCCTTGTAGTTATATCAAGCCAAGTCAACAATGTCTTTGTGTCATTAGCATTCCTTGAGGCTTTAGGCCCCTGTGACTTCGTATAGTGTTATTCTTTCTGATTGCATGCAGGCTCCTTGTTTTCAAGAGCCTTAAGATTCATGGGTACAAGATAACTATGGGTACAGACAGCAGCCACCTCAGCCCTTCATTGAAATGCCTGGGATCCTTTATTGGAGTCTGGGCCACAGTACTTTAAAGTTGTGTGAGCAAGTGCTTAAAAGACTCAATGTAGACTCTCAAGTTCATCTCTGACTATTTGAACCTGAGCCCCTGTTTACAATGAACAATTCATATCAACTAAATAAAGCAGGCCTCCACCTCCTAACATGAAGTGAGGAAGTCTCTGATAGATTATAAAGACTGCATTATATTTATGAAAAGGAGAGAAATGTAGATGCTAAAGGACCTAACATATTAAACAACAGAAAACACTAGATCCCATTTGTTGTTCTCTGTTTGCATATTGATTGCTAGGAAAGGAATTTGAAATTCAGGGAAAGACATACATATTTGACAAATTTAGAATTTTAGGCTAAAAATAATTTGAACTTTTTTCCTTACAAATAAGGCACATTGTTTTCAGCAGACAAATAACACAATCAAAGTGCTTTTAAGAAATTCAACTAGAATTTCCCATAGAATACTAGGATAGTAAAAAAGAAGCCAGGAGTCCTGGTCCACTTCTGCAGTTCCAGAAATCTGGAGGCTGAAGGGGTCTTGCTGGCAAGATTGAGGCTGTTAAGGACTACACAGTAGTTCCCAGGCCAGCCTAGAGCACAAAGGTAGGGCAGTAGGGCTAGAAGTGAGGAGAATGTGATCCCAGAAGCCTTAGACCAGGGCTGCAAAATTAGTATCTTGAGAAAACCTATTGGCAAAGAGGAAACTCCCCAGTCAAAGCCAACTAGAACAAGCATAAGCTTTGGCCCAGGTACAGAGGCACTGCACTGTATCTCAAGGTAACATATGCCTCATTATAGTTCTAAAACCCATGACCCCTGGTAGAGAGGTATGATATAATGAGACTAGAGATGAATGAAGTTGTTTGTAGAACTGTATATAATAGACAAGCATAATCGACAAAGTCCACATTATGCAAAATAAGCAAAAAGTTTAAGAGAAGTTGCATAGATGGCTCAGTGAGGAAGCATGAGGACCTGATTTTGGACCTGCAGCACTCATGAAAAAGCCAGTGGTGGCAGTATGTGGTGATGTATTGTTCATGATTTAATAAAGCCACTGGAGATCAAAATGCAAAGCTAGCCATAGCCATAGAGCCAGGCAATGGTGGTACAACATACCTTTAGTTCAACCAGGCACACTTGTTAGCTATAGAAGCTGGGCAGTGGTGGCACACACCTTTAATCCCAAGATTCAGGAGACAAAGATAGATGAATCTCTGTGACTTCAAGGACACTCAGGGTTACATCTGAGTGAATCAGTCTAAAAGAGAAAGAGCTCACACAAAGAAGATCTCAGCACTTGGGATCTCAATCCTTTAATCCCAGCTCTAGAGAGGTATATAAGATAGAAGCAGGGCATTCAGTATTCAGTCTCAGAGATTTATTCTCCAGCCATGCTGAGCACAGGACAGCCCTTTTCAGCTGAGGTGGAGAGAGTAGCCAGTTGCTTTGCTTCTCTGATCTTCAGCTTGAACCCCAATATCTGTCTCTGGGTCTTTATTAATCATATTACAGTAGTATATACCTGCAACTCCAGCAACAGGTGATGGAGTAGGCCGACCTAAAGGCTCACTGGCTAGACAGTCTAATTGAAATATAAGTAAGCTTCAGGCTCAATGACTTCTAAAAAAACAATTCGGCAAAGTGTGATAAAGGGAGACACCTGATGTCAACCCATGGCCTTCACACATGCATACAAAGGCAAACCCACATCCACATATGAGCCCACAAAATGTGACCTACGAGCTCCATATCTTGTATAGCCTTTGTCATGTCTGCTTCTAAACCTTCCCACGGTTCTGACTCATTTCTCCCCTGGAAATGTATCCTTTTCCAAGACACATTCAGTAGAGAATTATACCAGCTCTCCAAAGAAAAGCTAATGCCAACCCTCCTCATGTTATTCTGTAAAATAGAAAAGGAACACCTCCAAATTCTTTTTACTAAGCCAGTATTACTTTGATACTAAATGTGACAAAGACACAACAAAAAGGAGAAAATTATAGGCCAATCTCTTTGGTGAAACACAGATTCAAAATTTCTCACCAAAATATTTCCAAACTGAATTCAGGAACAACATCCACCATGATCAAAGCAGTTTCATCTCAAAGATGTTGGGATATTTCAACATGCATAATTATTAAAGGTGATCCAACACAAAAAACAAACTCAGATAGAAACCACATGAACATTTATCTCATTAGATGCAGAAAAGGCCTTGAACAAAATCCAACAATCCCTCATGATGAAAGTCCTGGAGAATGTCAGAATACAGGACACATACCTCAGTTTAATAAAGGTACTGTGCCACAATCCTACAGATAAGACCATGCTAAATAGAGAAAAAACATCAGTCAAAATGATCTTCCAGTCTTATTGGAGAAGCCTCTCCTTCCAGGGAAGAGTAGCAGATGTACTCGTGACTGACCAAAATGCAGAAAACAGGTGACAGATAGGGGTCCCATAAAAGTCACTTACACCACTCTCTCTAAGGTTCATGGAACACTGCAGAAGTGGAAACAGGAAATATGCAAGAGCTGAAAGATTAGGTAAAAGGTGAAGAGATGCCATTCCCGTATGCTGTGAATATATGTTTCTCTTATTGGTTGATGAATAAAGCTGTTTTGGTCAATGGACAGGCAGGATGTAGCCTGGCAGGAATTATAGGTGGTGCTACAAGACTAGGAGAATTCCAGGAAGAGGAGCACAGACAGTGAGATCCAAGGGAGATACCATGTAGCTACCAAGGAAGCAAGAGGCTCAGGTATCACTGGTAAGCCAAAACTATGTGGAAACATATAGATTAATAGAAATGGGTTAATAATCAAGAGAGAGCTAGCCAATAAGAAGCCTGAGCCATAGGTCAAAAGTTTATAATTAATACAAGCTTCTGTGTTTTTATTTTGGACTGAATGGCTGTGGGACAGGGAAGGACAGAAACCTCTGTCTACAAATCATTAAAAGGCATCAACTGTAGTTGCCTTCATTGGGCCCACAAAGACCAGTCCTACTAACAGGAAGTCAAGGATGGACCAGGGGCTCACTGGCCTTTGCCATTTTTCCTAAACAATGAAGTGGACTGAAAGCTCACGGCCCCTGGGCTCATATCTCTGGAACTGAAGCCAGCCAGAAGTTTGAGGATGAAACTGTGCTTCCATAGTTTCTGATTCTCAACTTGGATGGGGTACCTTTATTCTTCAATAAAAATAGGGGAGAAAATTGAGATCATAGAGCATAAATATAGCTGTATAGGTGGGTTGAAACACATTCGAGAAAGAATGGATCTTGACAGACAAAACAAGCCGTAAAAATTATAGCTTCCTTTCAGCTTCTGCTCCATTTCCATCAGGAAAGAGGTGAAGCCTGGAGTCAGATTTTCTTAATAAAATGAATATGTGAATCTGCCTTATGCATATAAATAGGCTTTACACTGAGGGATTACTATATTCCTGAAGAGCAGAATATAGGGTTTTTTTGGTTTGTTGTTGTTTTGGAATATGAAAAAAGTCACATTTTATGCACACTAAAATAACCATTTAAAGGAACCTTGTTGTGGATTTATGTGTGATTATGTTTTTATAATTGCATTTTTAAGTAAAGAATTTACTTTGTATTTGCTGGAGAGATGGCTCAGTGTGTGAGAATATGCACAGAGTGGGAGCTTGGGATCCGATCTCAGCACCCACACAAAATCTGGGTAAGGCTGGTAATACACTTGTAGCCCCAATGCTGAGCGAGGTGAAGAAGAATGACTATGGCTTGCTAGTTGCCAGGCAACTGAGCTCCAGGTTCAACTAAGACACTGTCTCGAAAGAATAGCACAGAGTGACCGAGGAGGACACCTGACATTTTCCCTTCATCTCTGGAAAGCATATTGCAGGCACACAGATCCACATACCACACACATATATCACATTCATATGCATCTACAAAAAAGAATTTATTTTCAAAAGGAACATCTGGGAATTTTTTTTTCTGGAATGTTGTTATACACCTGGTAATTTTTAAAAGGAGTAAGTTTTCATAGTATTAAAAGTTAACCTCTCAACACACTTTGAAGCTGGATGCAACTTAGAATGTAAAGCACATTTTTCAGAGTGTCTAGAATTAGTATGAATGAGGTATAAAGATCAATTGATATAAAAGAATCAAAGAAATATGATTGTCTTAGATAACAAATCTATTTTAAATCTTGGTCTGTAGCAATTAAAAGCATGGTGAAATAAAATTATGAAGTTTTCAAATAAATAAATGGAACTGGAAAAGAATTTCACTGAGTGAAGTAAGCCAGACCCAGAAGGACACTCTGCATGTGCTCTCTCATATTTGGATCCTAAACAAATCTTTAGAGTTCAGTGATTAACTGAAGTGTCTCAGAGCCAAAGACTAAATATGGGCTATTGTGGGTGGGCATGCCTTAAGGAAAGGGGAC